TAGAGGAATACAACAAATCCCAGCAACAGTACATTATAGCTGGTGGTATTCTGCATTGCGCTGTATAATGTACTATTGCTGGGTGTTGTAGTCCTCTATAGCTAGTGGTATTCGGCATTGCACCACTGTATAATGTACTATTGCTGGGATTTGTTGTACTCTATAGATGGTGGTATTCCGCATTGCGCTCTATAATGTATTATTCGTTGATTTGTAGTCCTTTTATACAGCGCAATGCAGAATACCACCAGCTATATAGGAATACAACAAATCCCAGCAATACATTATACACAAAGTGTATAATGTATTGCTGGGATTTGTACTCCTCTGTATAATATACAGCACAATGTACCATCAGCTATAGAGGAATACAAATCCCAGCAATACATTATAGAGCACCATGTGGGGGAGGGAAGTGCAGGCTTACCTGAGCAGTCTTCCAGCAACTTGTTTCGGAGATCGGGCCTGTCTATCGGAGGCTGTCATCCACCCACACCTGCTCCTCCTTACTTCTTCTCCCCGCGTCCCTGTGCCGATCGTGAATGCGGGTGGGCGGGTCTGGCAGCTGCGAGCGTGAGGTGGGGAGGAGGTGTGGCGCGCAGCGTGTGTGGAGCCGTGAACAGGGCCAATCAATCGGAAGCCGATTAATCGATGATTGAAAAAGTTGACAACTTTTTCAATAATCGATTAGTTGTTGCAGCCCTAGCTGGAACGCACTGTATCGCATCCTGGCCGGCTCCCTTCGTTCTATGGCGGGTGGGGGCGTGGTGGTGCATTGAAGTCAATGGCAGAGCAGCCACGCCGCCTCCACCCACAGTGTGATTGCCCACACCAGAACGCGTAGCACATCAGTGGCTGCGTTGCGGTCCAGTGCGATCTAAAACAAAGGCTGCGTGCACTATTTTTACCAATTGCGCTGGACCGGAGCGCAGGCATTGTTGTGCCTGTGTTCTGGTGCGGAAGATCACACTGCAGGCAGGGGGCATGGCTGCGGTGCCATTGACTTCAATGCACCGCCAGGCAACATTCCAACCCCAGCTATACAGTGCATGCCAGCAGCTAACCGCACTTTAACGCACTGTATATGGTGTGAACAAGTCCTTAAGTTGTGTTGCATGAATCTTGAAAAATATTTGCATTATTCTAAGCAGTTAAAGTGTTCAGTATTTGTGGTTGTTTGTCTTTAATTGTTTTTATTGTTTCACAAAACACAATAAACGTACCCCTCTGTGCAAAGTGGTACATCCATAGATATCAGTTGTATCTACTGATGCTTCTTTTTCAAGTAACAAGGAAACAGCATCAATGTGCCCATATTCTACTGCAAGCATCAAAGGTGTTCTGTTGGTTAAAGGGGAAAAAAATTACAAAAGACACAATAAGAATCTCTCTAAATCGCCCATCTCATGCTCTAAAAAAGTATTTTAAAATATAAAAATAGATACACATAAATATCCATGGTGAGGGCAGGTACTTAAAGTGGAACTTTACTTATCATCAAAATAACAACAAAGACACTTTTAGAAATGTTTAGTAATGGCAATGAGATACTTTTAGATACTTCTATATAATTGCAGGCTTTTTATTCTTTGCATACCTTATTTTTCTTTCTCCCCCCATTCTCCCAGTGTTCATTTTAATTAGGGGGCAGATTAATATATCTACCTTTACTTCCTGGAACTCTGACACATGTGACTAGGACATGTGACCATGCACATCATCTCAGGGGAGGAAAATGCCTTTCTTTGAGATCTCAAGAGATTAGAGATGATGTTTCCCAACAATGCTCTGCTGATGTAACCTTCCCAAGATGCAACGCTTAGGCACGATTACATTATTTGTGCCAAAGTGGACCCGGAAGTGGAAAAAATAAATTGTAAATATAATAAAAATATGTTTGTTTAGCTAATGAATGTAAGATTTTTTATATCAGCATGCAGGGCTGTATACGGATGTGATTTTTAGTCAAAGGTCCACTTTAACTTGATACTCGGACTCAACATATCAATAAAATGTGCATGTAGAACATTTGCAAGCTCCCCAAATTTAAGTAATGAATGGTAAAAATAAGATAAAGAAGTTTTAATGAACAGGGGTTCACAAGGTGCTCTCTCATAAGGTACCTCCAAATCTAAATCACCAAAAATTCAACAGCACTTACATTAAAGGTCTAGAATTATTTTTTTGTACTATTTGAAATGCTGTAAATCATGATGAAAACATAAAGGTTTATAGAGTTAATTAAAACCTTCTACAACTCTCTCTCTAGAACAAACTGGTCTTGGCCCTACCCTGCTCTCCAAAACCATATCTTTATATTCCTCCACCCCAGCCAGAGTTTTAATAAATGGTTTCCTCTTCATTCTTTTAACCATTTTCAATGGTAGCAGACAGGGATGCCCGCTCCTCTTTGTGATTGTAATGGAGCATCAGGGCTAACACCGTCTATTTAAGGAATCCAAACAGGCTCATTCTATCACAAAATGTCTCTCTATGCCGTACTATGCTGTGTTCAACAGCCCCACATTAGCATGCCATCAATAATATTAGCAATTTCAAAGTTAATATCTCCAAAACTGAAGAACTAAACCTCTCTCTCTACCGCCCCCAACCCTTTCCTAACTTGAGGGTAATTTCCCTTTTTAATGGCAGACAAAAAACATTAGATATTTAGGCACCTTCATCCAGTGGCATCACAAGGGGGTGGTGGGGTGTGCGGCCCGCGGAGGGGTGACACCAAAATCACTGACAATTGGTGTCACCCCCTCTGAAAAGTCGGGCACTCGGTCATTGACCGAGAGCCCGACAGTATCTGGAGAGAGGAGGGGACCTGGCAGCATACCTCATCCCGCCGGGTGAATGTCCCCTCCTCTCTCTGCTGGCGTCCATTACTAAGATGGCCGCCGGCAGACATCAATGAGATCCTGAAATATAAAAGTGTGAATTAGCCCTGAAGTCTAACATATTGTATGTCCCAAGGATTTCAGCAATCTTTATTTCAGATCCTACCTGCTTCTGTGCAGGAGATATTACAAGCAATATTCCCCTATGAACTGCAGTAATGTGTTCAGAATTAGCATTTCTCCATAGAGGGAGAGGTCAGTGCAGATTTCGTTAGCTAAAGGTCATTTTTCCCTTGATTGAGGGGCATCCTTATAATTAGGCAGCATGGGGCGAATAGTGTAGGGACAGCCCTGCTCTTGATGACTGATCAGCCTATTACCATCACAGGAAGAAGACATCTCGAGTAATACTTAGAGAATTTTGTTAGCAGACATATTCCAGTGCACTATTTAAAACTACCTTTGCGCTGCCAGGTAATTTGAAACACAGCAACAGAAATACACTCCACAAAAGATAAATAACTTTATATAGTCAATTATTCATATGTCAATTATTATTCTGAGTGTACAATACCTAGGAATTGCAAGAAGATGAACAACTGATGGTCAATTGGCAATATACAAAACAAAGAGGTTGAATAAAAAAGATAGTGCTAATCGATCAGTGTAAGACATAATACTCACTGTTTCTTTTCATTCACCACATTTACAACTTCAGTGTGTTCAGCCATTTCAAGTAACAACCGTAAACATGATGTATGTCCATTTATAACTAAAGAAAAAATGCACAGATAATATTATTGATTGTGTATATTATTAGTGAATATTATTTACATGGAAATTATACACATATTATACTTTTAGGAGAATGATAACAAAGTGACCTTATGTTTTAATAACATACGCTGAGCTAATGTTTGTCATGGATGCATGATAACATGAAAATAGTTTACAAAGAAGCATGACAGCTGTTCCTGGCTTTCACAGCAAAATTAAGAGAACTATGGGGTAACCTTTTTACCCCATAGTTCTCATTATGGTCACGGGAGGACATATACTAACGTCCTTCCGTGACCCAAAGCTCAGTATATATAGCGAGCTATAGCGATATACTGAGAACGCCGGGACGGATCCCAACAATACTGTCGGGAAACGCAAACACTTTTTCTGAATGAAGGCTTAAGGTGGCAGAATGGTAGTAACTTATCTCTCCAAAGGGAACTACAACAGATGCCCAGGGGCGAATTCCGCGCATTCGCGGATATAGTAATAGCCGCAAATGAGCGGAATTCGTGCAGTTGTAAATTTTGTACCGTTTTCATGCCGTGAAGTCTTCTGCGTGGAAAACATTGAGGGAAACACAAACGCTATTTGTGAATTGAGGCTTATGGTGGCAGAATGGTAGTGACTTATCTCTCCCAGAACACTAATACAGATGTCCAGCATTTTGACAAACATCATCTCTTCATCTACTTGAAAAATGAATGTTGTGAAAGAATCAATCAAATAACAGAAACTAAGGTGGCCTCCACTGAGAGATACCTGGTGTTAGATATCTGCCATCTTGGTGGGTGAGATGTTATATCAACACATAGCATTGAATTGTGCTAGAAGATAGGGCTAGGACTAATCATTATCAATATCATCTTCAGCTAATATAACAACAACGGAACTCAGTTTATAGAATTCACTAAATGATTTACAATTAGCTTAAAATGATATTAAAGGAAGAAGGTATTAAGCCATTTTAAATGCTGATTAAATAACTTGCTGCTCCTTAATGTTTAAAAGTTTTAGTTTCCTGTAGAATCAGCTGGTTCCCTTAAATGTGGCACCGATATCCTGTTTTAGGGTGGCTCCTTTCCCTTGCAGGGTCCTATGGAGCCACCTTTGTGTGTGCTAGTAAGTTGTGTGTCTCTCCACAAACACACAGGCAATGCCAGGCAAGCCATTTCCCTTCTCCCTGTTCCCTCCTCTTCTTTCCTCCCTTCTCCAAGCTAGTAGATGGACAGCTGCTGGGGACTGTGCTGTCTCTTGTGATTTTGTACTGGGCAGGAAGTTCAGGGAAGACAAGCTGAGAGAGATGCAGCCAGATGTTCAGAAACATGATGAGTGTAAGTGCTTGAGCTAAAATGTAAATAAATACTTTGCTGGGAATGTATACTGTATGTATTTGATCCCCACCCATAAACACTTTATAGATTAAAAAATTGTGCCACAAAAATGTGGTATGCAGCAATGCAAATGCAACAGCACACCCAACTGCAATAGGCATTTTGATAAGGTAGAGGGTACTCCCAACTCCATCGCCAAAAGGTGTCACAGTCAGCTGTTATTTAGAAGCCAGTTGGATGTGGTTGGAAACTCAAAAATTAAATGCTAGAAAAAACGTTCAGCTCAAAAGTGTTACTGATTTTGCAGAAAGCCTCCTATTTGTATCAAGAAGCAGTGAGCACTAGTAAACTTTTTAAAGATGTCATAGAGCTTTTTATTATGTTTTTGAAATGCAGAAGACATGAGCTGCTTTGTATTTGAGCTGATCAGGCTATATACTTATTATATTATCAGATATCGTATTAGAAATGTATGTGATTACATGCAATTGGAGTTTATACATAAACTCCAATATATAAACTTGTATATTTGGCTACACATGGTTTTTATTATTATTATTATTATTATTATAATACAGGATTAATATAGGGCCAACAGTTTGTGCAACACTTTACAATATAAGGAAGACATTACAGTTACAATACAATCCAAGACCTGCACAGTATACCTGTCAGTTTTCATCCAGCTGATAACTGATAAAATTGAGTCAAGGACAAGTGATTTTGCACACACGTGTGTGGAAAATTGTCCAAACAAAGAAGTTAATGGGGGATGATATCTCTGTAGAAAATACAGAGCGGTAAAAACCGGGCAAGAATGTCCTGCTAATGCAGGAATTAACACAACCAATTTCCAAGATCACCACGCCTAACTTGACAGTTAGCATCCCAATTAGCATTCAGAGGACTGTATGTATCAGATTCTGTCCAAGAGGAACTGTAGGACAAACAGGAAGGGCTTTTTAAAACAAAGTGATGACCATAGAGCTGAACTTGTTCACAGATAAAGAGATAAGAGCCCCACTTACTAATCTTTATCCTCCCTTAAGAGGATGTAAATATAAACAGGATCCAAGTGGTTAATGTCATGGCATAAAACTCATATTCTTCTCCAGGAACCTTATACTCTGTATGCTGTTTACAGTACCAGTACAAAGTCCAGACTCCAGATATACAGAAGATAAAAGATCTTGCATTCTCCAAGTTTAAGATCCATTTTATTACAGCAGTAAAACATTCTAAAACATGAGCATATACAGTACATACAGTATGCTTTTTCAGGGCCGTTGGACATACCACAGGCTTTATAATGGTTTTTGCATTTCTCTGCATCAATTAGTATTTTTAAAATTGAACTTAGTGGACAATATTGTAATTTTTAACCCAGCTCTCTAGTTATATTAGGTCATTATGTTTATCCTCTGGTTCAAATACTTTCTGAGCCACTGCCCTGCACTATTTTCCTTGCACATGACTGGGTATGTTTTGCAAAAAAATTTTCACCACATTCACTAAGCTTAGGGAAATTTCCCTTGCAAAGTGCATAGCATAATTGCCTTTTGTAAATCAACCCCCAGTGATTCATACAATATTCAAACTCAAGGATCAGCGTAACAGCCAAGCATTGTCAGAAGGAAGTCAGCAATACTAGCCTATAGATGTAATGTTGCCAGCTTATCTCAATTTGAAATTAAACTGCAAAATATTTATGGATGCTTCGTAGGCAAGTCCCCTTCAGATGGATACCCCAAAGGGTCTTCTTCTCTAAATGCAGACTAGGGTTATATTTTACAGGTCATGAACTGCAGATAACAGTGTACAACCTAAATAAACATTCACACCACTACTGGGGCCTTTCGTTTTAAAGATATATGAGGAATGTGTGTCTACTTGATATCCTTGAAAATAAGAGAGAGAGCCAAAACAAACCTTTGGGTTCCACATGTGCCATGGCTTTTAGGAAAATTGTGGTCATAAAAAAATGCTTATCTGACTAATGAAGACTAAAGAGAACTTACCAGCAGCATGAAGTGGAGTTCTTTGAGTAACTGAGTCATGCACAGTAATGGAAGCTCCTTGACTAATAAGGACTTCAACACACTCTGTGTGCCCTTTGAAAGAAGCAAGATCCAGTGGCGTTCGTCCTTTTTCATCTTTTATATCAACCTCAGCATAAGTATTAAACAGTATTTCCAAAGCTTCATGATGTCCATTGTATGCCTAAATAGTGATGATAGAAAATAGTAATAAAATATATGTGGTGAAAATGAATGGGGGGCATAATATATTAGGGCAGTGGTTCTCAAACTATTTCTGCCATGCCCTCTATGGAATTAGCTTCATTTTTATTCCCGCCCACCACATTTTTTGGATCAGATTTATATATATTTATATATGGGCCTAAAGGGCCCATTAATGTAATGCACAGAAACAAACCACACCTTATTTTGAATGGCACCCCAACACACAATGCACCTGTACTATAACCCACGGCAGCAAAACACAAAGCACAACATTCGGTATGCTGCGAAAAAAAATGCATCAAGCTCTAAATTTGTTGAGCTGAAGTGCATTCATTTTGAATGGGCTGCCAAATGCAGCCTGCCACAACTCTCAAAACCCTGTGCACAGAGCATGCATTTTATACAGAGTAGCTTTATGAACTGTACTATTGTGCCTGCCAGCAGTGTGCTAGATATTGTAAAGCGCTGCGCAAACTGCGCTATATAAATCCTATGTAATAATAATAATTAAACATTTTACCCTCCATGCACCCCCCCTCCCACTTTGTCTTTCTCTGCCGTTTAACACTGTGCAATTTATGTGCCCCCTTTCTGTACAAATATGGATGCTCCAAGCAGCTGTTGTATTTGCTTTGTGCTGAGATTTTACCGCCAGCTTCACCCTGCAGTGTTAGACAGATCCTCACCTGTATTAAACTGCGGCCCTCACTAGTACTGGGTCAGTCAGTGACTTTCTTTGCAGAGTGCAGGCAGAGTGCAGTGAGAGTGAAAGCTTAACCCTACCTACACATGCTGCCAGTTAAAGAATTACTAATATAGGGAAATCTGCAAAAAAAACTAAGAAAAATGAAGAAAATTGCTAACCAGTCCATATTTTGAAATATAGTTAATTAGGGCTAGAAATAAACTGTTTTAAGGTTTTTGATAGGAACAGCTAAAACCGAATAAAAGCAGAAATAAAGAAAATTACAATATTAAACCTTACTAAATTTGATTATGTTATCGCTGTCGTGGATGTTATGCAATGCCATTGATTTACTGATTTTAATAATGGGACTGATGTACAAACATTTGGGTAAAGAAAATAGAAACTTTTGGAGACAATACTCAAAGAATCCTTTTTTAAGGAGGATATTGATGGCATGATGTGAACCTCTGTTCAATTTTTGCTCAAGTTTTCTTTTCTCCAGTGTTTTCGACTTGGACAAATATTTTTTGTGCTGTTATCAGTCATCTGGGATGTAGGTATATGTAGGAGGTCATTAAAAATGTTTTTCTACTGGTTGCAAGTAACTCTTTTTATTTCCATAACTGAAATTGTATCTAAAGCAAAAATGTTTTCCTTTCTTTTTTGGTTTTAGATACAGTAGGCAATAGTTAAAACATCTGTAAGTTGTTGTTTTTTTTGCTGCCTTAGTCCGTTAATGGGTGGAAACATAGTACAGAATGTCACCAGCAGACCAAATGTTGTGGTCAAGTGTTCGTCCTCTATTGACACATAGGGGGTGATTTACTAACCTAAACACACGCACGCACTAGGTGCGTGTGATTTTTACACAGCAAAACGTATTTATCAACCAAAAAGTCTCTAAAAGCATATTTCCACCAATGCCATATATGGAAAAATCATGCACATGATGCATATATAATGCTGCTTCACAGTTTAGAGAAAAATGGTTAGCTCATGCATTTACATTCCTGCATTCATCAACGTAAGCAACACAACATAGAGCTAATTTACACGACATCACCTTGCAAATTCATGCAGGGCTTTGCACAACACACCTGCTGGGTGTGTACACACTACAAAGGTGTTGAGATTCCACCCATAGATCATGCTGGGAGGGAACACACTACAGAGGTGTATACATGTTCGTGGTGTGTTTATAAGGTTAGTAAATCAACCCCATATTGTCACAATGAAGCAACGTTTCAGGGCCACGCAGGGTCCCCTTAATAAGCTACAGTGTGACTAATGACTTTATAGGTGAAAATGAACCTTTTGCTCTTTCAGCAAAGTGATAGCTAATCATTCTGAAGTGAGTGTAGACAGTTGTCACCAAAACAATTGACCCACTGGAGGATTTCCCCTCTATTCTTCCAGTGACAACCATAAAATGTTATATTTCCCATCATGTTCTGTCACAGTGACAGTGGTGACCACGTCAGATAGAGAAGGTGCCTCCATCAGGGATGCGGTTGAGAATTAGACCTAACCGGGGTTCTAGACTATCTCTATTTCATCCAAAGCCAAAGAAATGTTTGGGCTATAGATATACTTTAATTATACTTAAAACAGAAGTGCTCAATAAAACTATTATTTATATAAAAACCAAATAAACTAATACAATACCAATCATTTTCATTTCATTGTGTAACAATATTTATTGAACATTCATTTAGTAAATGTGTTTGAAGTTTAATCAAATTATAATGGCAAAAATAACAATAAATAAAAATACTAGCCTTATTAGCTTTAATATAAAGCTGTTTTTTCTGCTGACCACACACAGAAAAGCATTGCAGCAGACTGCCGACATCACACAGGAAAACACAAACAGTAGGCATATCAGAAACACTAGGGCATGGTAAAGTGAAGCCACCACACAGGTTTATCATTTAAATGAGTGTGGAGAGAATAAAGAAGTTATTATGAATGCACATGAGCAGGCTTGTGGCAGCTTGAACTGTCTAATGTATTATACACTGTAGATTTATAGTGCGGATGAAATAAATAATTATAGTAATTAAATGAAAGTCATAGCAGTCATTAAAAGTGATGGTTGTAATGCATATATATTTTGTATTTTATATTAAGAGATTCTCATGATACTATGTAAATGAGAGGTGTGTATATAAGGAGGAGTAGACTAAATAATACACACGATGCATCTAAAGCAAAATGGCAGGGATATGCACCCTATAGACAGCCATGCATCCCCTTGAGTAGGGCCTGGTAAAACTGTTAGGAAATAGCAATAGGCCGAGATTACTTTTTGGTTTCGGTATGGAGTAAAGGGTTACTACTGAATCATGCTTTTATGCCACTGGGACGCAGCATGAGAAGGACTCTAGAGGTAATCCCATTTACAACCACACTCGTACAGATTCATCTCATCAGTGATTGCTAATACGAGTTCTCCAAGGGATTGAATCTAGATTCCAAAGTCCATATGTGGGCTTCGTGGGCAGTAACACTTTAAGTTACAGTGGCAGCATGCTATCAATTGATGCCTTTTTTTGCACTCAGTCAATATGCCACGATATATCAGATGCTTTATTAATCTCAACACCTGAAGAATAACCTCCTTTGCAGGAGTTATATATATATGTTATTGCAGAGTCAAGATGATAAGGCAAGGTTCTACAGACTATAAAGGGAAATCCTGAAGATCAGTACTGTAGAGATGTATAGTTCCAGGGCTTTCTCATTATACCACACTAACCTACTTGGCAAAAGACATTTAAAGATAGCTGGCAAAAGGATGTCTCTTCAGGTTGGGGATTCTGTACTATCAAATGTTGTTATTTCAATTCATACACACAATTCATAGATTCTCCCTCTTGTGGCTATCTGTATTTTACTGGTGTAACTCTTCCTTTATTAACAGCTTCCGCAATAAAATCTACAGACAGGGATTGCATTACTTTCATTTGGCCTGATCTGACAGTTAGACTTACACTAAAGCTCACACAGGTTACAATTGGATCGTACAAATTCCTTTAGATCTATCCACAACTATGTAGTGCCAAGGCCAGCCTTTGGATACAAATTAATTGGATAATAAAGTAGGTGGTCCTCATATCAGTTAACTTTGGTAAAGCTAAACAAGACTGTACAAAAATTGTACATTAGATTGTAATGTGTATGTGACCTTATGGCAGAAGGTTAAGGCACAACCACTGTGCATCATCACTACTAGTGAGGAGACCCGGTAAAATATACATAGAATAATGTATATTTGATAATACATAATGTTATGGATTATGATTAGGGATGCACCAAAATGAAATTTTGAAACCGAAAATAAAAATTTTGTCAGGACGAAACTGAAACCGAAAATGATGTGTTTTTTTTTCAACCTTTTTATGAAAAATGTTATTGATTTTCAATTATTGTATTTTTATTTCTTTTTTTTTTAACTTTACTGTTGGGCTCTGGGGAAATATCAGGGGTCTGATAAGACCCCTGATATTTCCCTATTAAAATAGAAAAAGAGATCAAGGACACAGAGTCTGAACTCTCTCATTCTGCAGCCCCAGCACTGAATGAACAGGAAGTGATGTAGATCACTTCCCATTCATTCATAACTGGGACATAGTAACTCATACTATATCCACAATGTATGAATGAACAGCTGCAGTCAGTATAGAGGCTTCCTGTTCATTCAGTGCTGGGGCTGCAGAATGAGAGAGTTCAGACTCTGTGTCCTTGATCTCTTTTTCTATTTTAATAGGGAAATATCAGGGGTCTTATCAGACCCCTGATATTTCCCTATTAAAATAGAAAAAGAGATCAAGGACACAGAGTCTGAACTCTCTCATTCTGCAGCCCCAGCACTGAATGAACAGGAAGCCTCTATACTGACTGCAGCTGTTCATTCATGGGGTGTGGATATAGTATGAGTTACTATGTCCACAACCATGAATGAACAGGGAGTGATGTAGATCACTTCCCATTCATTCATAACTGGGACATAGTAACTCATACTATATCCACAATGTATGAATGAACAGCTGCAGTCAGTATAGAGGCTTCCTGTTCATTCAGTGCTGGGGCTGCAGAATGAGAGAGTTCAGACTCTGTGTCCTTGATCTCTTTTTCTATTTTAATAGGGAAATATCAGGGGTCTTATCAGACCCCTGATATTTCCCTATTAAAATAGAAAAAGAGATCAAGGACACAGAGTCTGAACTCTCTCATTCTGCAGCCCCAGCACTGAATGAACAGGAAGCCTCTATACTGACTGCAGCTGTTCATTCATGGGGTGTGGATATAGTATGAGTTACTATGTCCACAACCATGAATGAACAGGGAGTGATGTAGATCACTTCCCATTCATTCATAACTGGGACATAGTAACTCATACTATATCCACAATGTATGAATGAACAGCTGCAGTCAGTATAGAGGCTTCCTGTTCATTCAGTGCTGGGGCTGCAGAATGAGAGAGTTCAGACTCTGTGTCCTTGATCTCTTTTTCTATTTTAATAGGGAAATATCAGGGGTCTTATCAGACCCCTGATATTTCCCTATTAAAATAGAAAAAGAGATCAAGGACACAGAGTCTGAACTCTCTCATTCTGCAGCCCCAGCACTGAATGAACAGGAAGCCTCTATACTGACTGCAGCTGTTCATTCATACATTGTGGATATAGTATGAGTTACTATGTCCACAACCATGAATGAACAGGAAGTGATGTAGATCACTTCCCATTCATTCATAACTGGGACATAGTAACTCACACTATGTACAGTTATTTACAAACATTCAGCGTTCAACTGATAGCTGAATGTTTGTACTCTGTTCTCCATCCTGCATCAACCATCACAGGAAGCAGAGCAGGGTGGTCCGGGAGGGGAGCTCCGCCTCCTATGACATCACAGGGCTCTCCTCCAGTCACCGCTCTCCATCCTGATACAGGAGACCGAGCTGGGAGGTGCGGGAGGTGCGGAAGGAGAGCTCAGTCTCCTGCAACGCTGGCAGCACTCCTTTCCCCCAGCGCTCGGCATTCTGAAACCTTCTCTTCTCTTCGCTGGGTGCCGTCCGCTGCATCGGAAGACACATAGACCGACGCCCAGACAGGAGGAGAGAAGCTGGGGTGCACTGAATTTTTGGACACATTTTCGTCCGTCATGGCACTTTCAGCAGCCGAAATTTCGGTGCATCCGTAATTATTGTTATTATTATACAGGGTTTATATAGCGCCAACAGTTTGCGCAGCGCTTTACAATATAAGGAAGACATTACAATCACAATACAATTCAAGACAAGATGGTAAGGAGGGCTAATTATCATATTACTGTTAAACTGATAACATTTACAAGCATATCTAAAAAAAGACTACAAATTCTTAAAGTGGAACTGTTACATAAAATGTAAGATTTGCTATTTTATAGGGGACATCTATAAATGGTAATTCTGCTGATACATTTTGTCTGGAATTCCTACTAAATAATAGCAGTGCACCTCTTGGTATGTGAATGTGTCTCATAGTCTTATATATGCAGTTTGAAATCAAAGTCATTGCTGCCTATCACTGCTAGAATCAGGAGATTTGGAATAAGATTTGTTAATATCACCATTGTGTTGCTTACTTCCTCGAGGCTCTGTAATAAGGAAGCAAAGCCCTGCCTCTACCAAGATGGCAGCCTCCACACAGAGAAAAAATGCAGAACAAAGCACGTAAGAGAGTAATATGAAAAGAATAGCTGAAGGGGGACCACAAGCAATAATGGTGACTAGTACTTTGCCCTCTATCTGCCATTTTGAGGCACAGCTTCAAGAGTTCAGTTACATTTTAAGGTTCCATTTTAGATAAAGAACCTCATATGATCATCATATTAGAAATGTAAAAGACATACCGCCAAGTGTAAAGGGCTTTTCGTAGTTGGAGGGATTGCAACATCAGTAATATCTTCAGTTCTTTTTAGCAGCTAAAAAGAAAGTTTTGTGTCATTAGTGTCAAATTTCTTACACTATTAAATGTAGAACTGCACACAAAACATGAACAAAAATGGAAATGTCTGGATGGCTCCTTAACATATATAGAGTTTCTCTAGTATAAGATGATTGATATTATACAAAACTATTAAGATTAACCTGTGGGAAAGACCAGTTAAATATATTAAACGTGGTTGCAGACAGCTGATGTATAAGCTTAGTACATACCGTTTATGTCACAATGTGCCTCTCCAGCACCACCAGGAGCACTCCTTAAAAACAAATACTGACCTAATCAAAATCTGCATTGTATAGTGATCTGTATGCCCCCATGTGTCAAAGCCAAGGCTTGCTGATAGGTTACTCAAGCACTAGTATTGCATTATGGGATGAGGAGTTAAGGATGTGCTTATTCTCCACTATGGGAAACTGGAGACACTCCGGGAGGGGCTCTAGGCAGTCTTGGACAGGCACAGCATAACACAGAAGGTATGAGCTTAGGCTGTCAGCTTTCTGCTACAACTTTTTATTGAAGTTATCTTTTTCAAAGTTTCACTTTAAATATTTAGTACCTGTAAAATATACAAACCACATCTCAAAACTAATATAAATATAAATATCTTTTATTAAATACATAGCGATCATGATAATGTCCATTCTCTGGGGGTTGTTTATTGAAATGTTAATGGTACTGAGGGGTAAATACACATATGGGTTTATTTATTTATTGCAGGGTGGATGCTGTTCACAAGGAATTAGCACTCCTAGATAGCGCTGAGGAGTAAATGAATTTCCTAGACTCCTCATCGCCATCTAGGGGTGCCAGTTCCATGTGATCAGCATCCTCCCAGGCAGCATATAAATAAATAAACCCATAAGTGTATTTATCCCTCACTAACCATTAACACTGCAATAAGCAGCCCCCAGAGTATGTATACTAGTAACTGAAAAGTAAATACTGTAAAGGCTGATCATTAAAGGGTTGATGGTCATACAATGGAGACTGACCTCTGAAAGTCTGATATATATTCTCTGGTGGCTGATTACTGAGGGCATAATGCTTATAAAAAGGAAAGTGGTCTCTGAGGGGTTAATGTTCATAATCTAGGGGCTGATCACTGAGGGATTAAATGCATATACACTGCTGGTATGAAAACTAGTTAGTAAGCTCTGTGTATTGGAAGGGCAATCTCACTGCTAGCTATAGATAGGACAGGATACAGTAGACCAATGTGTGAACTGGAAGTGGGATCTCAAAGGTAGAACATGCTCTCTTCCGCTCAATTCAGGATGGGAGACAAAATCTCTCCGTGAGAAACTAAAAGTGACAATCTGACTTTAATACTATAAAAAATAGCAAAAAGATAAACTATAAAATATAAGTTTAAAATGCATAAACTTGAAAATAAAACTTCACATAAAACTGACCAAAATCCATTTGTGCAGCGATGCTTTAATAATCCAAAATAATGCCTGCAACCTAATGGGCGAAATAATGATTAATCCAATTGTCACCTAAAGTGCAACCTGTTTACATTCTAATATTTTATTATACTATGTAGAATTATGCATTTACTGTACTATATAGCTCAGTGATCAGTGTGGGCTATTGATCTCTCGAAACAACAGGTGCCACATATTTATATGCAATCATTTATATGTACCCATCAAAACAGGAAAATAATGAATTAGGACGGGAAGGTCACTCGCTAACTGTTGGGCCACCACAGATATATGAATCTTACTATTCTGGTTGAAATCTGGATAGCCTTTAGAAAGCCTACTAAATACATAATAGGGCAATAGGGGACCAGTGTAAATTCCAAATTGATCCCAAGCTTTTTGAGCAATCTGACAAGCTTGGAAACACAGTAAACCTGACAGTAATTCAGCCACCTAAGTCAGTTCACTAAGATCTAATTTAACATGTACTATCTGCCCACTGTTTTGTTTTAGCATGCAAGAAAACATTGTTACAATTAATTCAGTGTGTCTATTGTTATTATATCATACGGTATACTTACATATTCCAAGCCTTCTCTGTGACCATAGGCAGCAGCATAATGGATGGCACTGTACCCAGCTTTGTCACAAATTGATGGGTCGGCTTTGTTCTCAAGCAGATATTGCAAGCACCTGTTTTAAAAATATTATTTACAGTGAACAACACAGTGCTATGAAGAATGTAAGAAATATCTGTAGCATCAATTAAGTTGAGACTCACTGGATACAATATTGTTGTATTTATATTGTAATATTGTATTATATCTGTCTGCATTGCTATGGCAGCCATGTGGAAAAATATATTACATAGAAATCTAGACTAGACATTTTTTGCTAATTTCTGCCACCTTCAATAGCAAAAAAGACTGAATGAATCAAGGTATTCTAGCACCAGTTTTGATCATGTTATGGTTTAGATCAGTGGTTCTCAACCGCTCAGTTATGTACACACAGTAAATAAAATATGCATGATGATGTTTTAGTGAACACAGTGGTCAGTGGATATGGAACATGATCTCCATTATGTAGCAGGCTAACATTTTGTAGCATGTCCTTTAAGATCTATTGATAAAGAACTGTATTGTCATGGTTCTTAGCATGGACAACTTACGTGGCTGCTTCTTTTTCTTTTACAGGAGAGAATACATCAGAGTCTTCTGTATTTTCATGTCCTCTTCCCATGATTATTCTCCTTCAAAACAATAAATGATTTATGTCATATCATTGGCATACCTGCGCATGTTATATTCCTTGTATTTACTAAGGAGACACAGAGATTCAGCATAGTCTCAGGATTTTACAGCTTTCATCGATCATTTGTGAACTCCTAGGGATGGGTGAGAACCTTGGTCGGGCTTTCGGCATTTACTGTACAAATTTAGTCATATACGAAATGTTCTAATATATATATATGTATATATTGTACAATAGCTCAGAGCTTACTTACAGGAAATAAAAGTTCCTGCTGCCAACAATGGCTTTACCCCTAACATCAGAACTAGTGATAACCATAAATGTTTCCCTCACACAGAGTACCCCCATTCTCTCTTATACCATTTTGTCCTCAACATTGTCACTAAGGTTTTTGCCAACCATTTTTCCCACTTATAGCTGGCTAGTTGTATCCATCCAGGTTTAGCCTCTTCTGGGTAAAGTCTTAGTCCTTGGGTTACTAATTGTGCCATCGTGCATCATTTGCCTCCCTACCTGAAGAGTAATGCTGGCCATGTGGCACTGATACCTAGCTGGGCAAACTAATGTGTTCCTCTTACTTTGCAGATTCAGCTAGAGACAAGAATGTTAAAAGTAATAAAATTGTGCCACTCATGTAACAAGTATTCCAGGAATCCAAGCCTAGCCTGGCAGAGTAATTTCATCAGCTGGTGGTACCTCCTTTGCCAGCTGTCGCAAGTCAAGGACTTGCGACAGCTGGCAAAATCGCATAACAGCAAAATGCTGCCATCTTGGAGGCAGGGTGCACGCCGCCATTTTGAAATATATCTTGGTATACACCAAGATGGCACGCCCACATGTTCGGGTGCCGCCATCTTGGTGTATACCAAGATATACTCCAAAATGGCGGCACGCATGCACAGAACGCGCTTTCGGCTGACACGACCACTACTCGTTCTGCAGTTCCTTTGTGCGGTTTCGGATTTGGAGGCTTGTTGCCTCCGAATCAGCATTAAAATTTGTTTCCTTTGATGAAACAAATGAAAATGTGTTTCATTTGTTTCGTCCGAAACAAATTTTTTCGTCCTGCACATGTCTACTCCCCAGCATGCTGGCCGCTGTTATCTGAAGCTGGATAAACATTCTGAAGTTTTTCTATTTCTGCAAGAAATTAGGAGAATAAAAGAAAGCAGACGGGAAGCCACCCTACTTCAATAGACTTTCTAAGACTTTCTAAGTTTTATTTATTGCTAGAGCCAAGCTCTTCACCCCCTGACCTCCAGTTGTGGATGTGATGCATTTGGAGAGGAATGTAACTCTCCCTATGGAAGAGTCTGTATCCTTCACGGATGTCCTTGACAGAAAGATTGATAAAGAAAATGTATTAGCCAATATGCAACGCCTGAAGACCTTCAATCGCCCTTACTTTGGTGGCCAGGGCCCTTCATGCATGCATGGATGGATCATTTAGATTCAGCTATTAGAGCAAAAGCTTTCTGACTTCTTCCCTACTTAGAGACCTGTGAGGTGGGATCATGGCTTAGGGCTTCTGTGGGTGTAACATTGTTTAGACCCCTGGGTCTAAACAACACTTACCAGAAGACATCACTGGCTATTTAAGAAAATCCATGATCATTGCTTCACTTCCAAGCTCCCAGGAAAAAGGAAGCGTCTTCTGTCAGTACCTCGGTACACTACTTACCAAAAAGCAATCTGGCCTGTTTCTCCATCAGAAAAGTTTAATGGATACCACTCCTCTATATCTATTATCAGAAAGAAATCCAAGGCGTTGTGGGCTTGTCATGGATCTGAAGATTTTCAACAAACTAATCAAATTAGAGAAATTCAAAATGGAATCCTTACACGCCATCATTCTCGCTGTACAGCCAGAGGACTGGATGCTATCTATAAACTTTCAAGCTGCATACTCCACTTGCAATTCACCTGCCTTCCCTTTTGCCTGTTGACATCTCCAAGAATGTATACCAAGATTCTGGTAGAAATTCTAGCTCACTTGCATGAACAGGGGTTACATGTGTTTCACTCTTAGGACGATATCCTTCTGCTAGTGAGGGACAGAGACACTCTTCTCCTCCCCAAACAGACCTTGATTTCAACTCTACAGAAATGGCTCCTAAACTAGCAGAAGTGTCAACTGGGTCCAACTCAGCAGCATGTCTATCTAGGTGCCCTTTTTGAGACTTCAAAGGGCCTTTTCCGCATCTCATTGCTCAAAGCTTTTAGGCACTCTCTCTTTCTGCATCCCAAAGGGGAAGTGGGCTCACTGGTATTTGAGGCCTTTCCAAAAGGGGTCCCTAGTCCAGTGAAACCAAGTCTCTTTTTATCAGCTCATCAGGGTGTCTTCTGCTATGCAGAAGAGTCTCTTGTGCCGCCCCAACAGGGGCATAGAATATGAGATGCATAGCCTCAGTTAATATTAGCATTGTTATATAGGTTAGAATTTATATAGTGTGATTTGCCTAACTATTTTCTCATAGCTAAATTCATGTGTTATCCTATGCTGCCATCTAGTGGCCTTTTGTTGTAACAAACATGTTTTCTGTAATTATTCCTCATGTGACGATGTATTTCCCCCTAGTGTAGCCCCACCCTTCTTCCTGTGTGCAGTACTTCCTGTGTCATGGGCACAGTTGAAAGCCACATGTAACAAGGACACACATGTGATCTGCACAGTACGTAGGAAAGGCATCATTTTCTGACCGCACAATACTATAACCGTTCAACTGCTGTTCCTATCATCTGCTGTAATTATATAGTTATATATAAGTTGCTTATGTTGTTGTACCTATGGAAGTCTGTAAGTACAATCATTTTTAACTGTCCGCAGTGAGTATATCTGCTTATACAGGCCAGGCATAGAGG